ATAAATAAATAAATATAATTAACCCACCCCCACCCTACCACTCCAGCGACTACTCCGATTCCGATGATCGTTTCGGCGACTGCTTCGATTCCGACGACTCAGGTCACAAGTCACAGTCCAGGTCACAAGTCACAGTCCAGGTCACAACTCAAGTCACAGGTCACAGTCTAGGTCATAAATCAGAATTTCATTCATAATCACGAGTTATTTTTTTTTATAAGGATCACAGGTTATTTTCAAATGATCACATGTAAATTTTTCGGTGACATCTTAATTAATTTTGAGTCACAATTCGAATTTTAAGGGTCACAGTTAACTAATTGGTCACAGGTCAACTACTGGATCATGTACCACCATCATCTCCAAATGTCTCCACAGCCACCGCTCCAGCTGTAAACCATGACAATCTCCAGCACCAACAACAAAAAAAAAACATTGACTCCGTTGCCTGTAAGGTAGCACCACCACCACCACCAAACCCACCGCTACCGTTGCATCCAACACTAACATCACCGTCGTCGTCGCCATAACCAACAGCACTACCACCTCAGCAACATCTCACCATCACCAATACCTCACCGCCGCCAGATCCACCACATTGCACCCATGCACTCCAAAGCACCACACCACCGCCAACCACAAACTAGAGAAACTCAAATCAACCCAAAAAATCTCTTGCCACTTCAATGGTCTCCACCAACAGAGAAACTCAAACCATAAAACCAGTACACACCGGTCTCAACCATTGGATCCGCCATCGTTAGCCACGACACAAACACCATCACCACTACCAAAATAGAGAGAAATCTCGTCGGCACTGCATCGCTCATTTCTGGCCGACGATTCGTCATTAAAACTCATGGATCTGCACCGCTGTTCCGATCTGATCACCGCTGCTCCTCCAGCTGTGCTCGGTGAACCTCTTCTTCGCTGTTCGATGAAGCAGCATCCGATGCAGATGAAGAGAGAAGATCGCCGACAGAGAGAGAGCATATGGAGCAAAAAAGTCAGGTGAGAAGACCGCCGGCAGAGAGAGGAGAGAATATGGACCGCCCCGAAATTACTCCATCTTCGTCGCCTATAGTCATGGAGCCGCCACCAACACCAGCCGCCGCTACAACCACGCGTGGCCACCCCTCTCACGCTGCCAACACCACGAGAGAGAGAAGGGGGAGGAAGTTCTACTGAAAGTGGGTTAATTAGGGATTTAAAATCGTGTGGTGTTGGGTGGGTTGGGGTC